TGGATTCAATTTTGGCCCTTTGACCTCATCGCCATTGGAACTTCCAAAAGACTTTAATGAGACACTTGTAATTTATACAAGACTCAATCAAGTGCAATATAATATCCTGCATACCAGGATCAGGGACTAGCACATCTACACACTCATTAAATCCATTCATAATTGTGTCATTTATTTGTATATCCTTGTCAATATAGAAAAAAGTTGGGTTCAAATAACAACCAGCTGTATGCAATGGCCGATGTAGTTGCCTATCCCACTTCTCATCAATAATCTCCTAAACAGGCTTATAGCGGGTTTCTTCATCATTGAAATTTTGGGCTCTTTCTCTTTTGCATTTCTCCATAGCATCATATATGTAGCCCATAAAAGGCTTGTCACTATCAACCATGCGAAGGACTTTGACAAGAGGAAAAAATACCTTAAGAGCGCCCTTCACCCCTCTCCAAAAAGCCTTAAAAAGTATAATATCTCTCACCTTCTTCCCAACTTGATCCTTAGACCACTTGCATGCTCTCCACTCATATGAGATAAACATTTGCCTCCACTGCACTCTCCTCGAATGTATGCTATCTAGGCATAAGTACCAAGTCGCAAATCTCGTGACCCCAGGTCGCAAATCTCGTGACCCTAGGACTCACAATCTCTTTCTTCTTTGTAAAGGTACGCATCATGCTGAGGGTGAGATGGTGGCTATAAATGAAATTTGTAACTAAGTTGGCCTTCTTCACCGCACCTGATATCTCGGTTAAACCGCCAAGAGCTTCAAGCATAAGGTCTATACAATGTTCTGCACATGGTGTCCAAAAGATTCTAGGATAAGCTATACGCAACAAATTAGATGCAGCAACATTAGGAACAACATTGTCTGTGATAGCTTGTAGAACAAGATGCTCCCCAACATCCTTGATTCCCTTATCTATCACTTGAAATATGTAATGGGCATCATGGATATGATCAGAGGCCTCAATAGACCTCAAAAAGACAGTCCCTGCAGGATAATTCACAAGCAAATTTATCTGACTTCTTCTCTTTCTATCACTCCAAGCATTAGTCATAATAGAAACCCCATACTGAGCCCATGCATCCTTCTTAAGTTCTACAGCTTCCTTCGTGGCACTCATTGTTTTTTTTAAAAGAGGCTCTAAAAGCTCATATGGGGTTGGGGGTTTCATCCCAGGGCAAAATTGACCAACTGCCTCTATCGCAACATAGAAGCTGCTTAAGTGAGCGGTATTGAAAGGAATGCCCGCCTCACAAAAGCATGTATCAAGATAATACGCAACTCTATCTCTCTCTTCCTTCTTGATTCTATTTTCAATGGTGGTTTGCTTTTTTGTTTTCTCTCCTACAATCTCAGGGTCAGGCCGAGGTAAAAAACTATCCATAGGGCCTCTAACCCGAGTCTTCTTAGTTCCAGAGCCAGAAGCAATTACAACTCCCTTCCCCTTTCCTTTAATAATGGATTGCTCAACCTCTTGACACCCCTCCCTTTCCTCATCACTATTATCATCATCAAAATTGACCCGAACCCCAAACCTAATCTCTGCTATAGAGGCAAATCTCTCATCTTGGAAAATCTCTCATCTTTTTTCATTCTCACCATGTTCAAAAAATTGCTTATTTCCTCTTTAACAGCATCAAGAGTCTTTTTACATGGGGGCAACATCCCCCTGATACCGACAAGATGTTCCTTGAACCGATTTATGCCCCCTTTTGTATCCTTTTCACAAAACTTGCATCTTATACAATTTTTATCATTAGGATATGGGTTATAGCCATATTTCCAACCGGGATCACCACTCCTATTAGATCCCAAAGACGACATCTCAAAAATAATGCAAATTACTAAAGCAATAAAAAAAATCACTTACTTTGAGTTCGATTGCGCAATCTTCAAACTTCCACCTCAAAGATGCTTCTAAATACTCAAAATCTTAAAAAAAAAACCCTAATAACTTTGCAAAACATCAAAAAGTAAATCTAATATCAATGGGTGATGTTTTGATCAATTTTTAATAACTTTGAGAAACCCTTCGATCCTAAAAAATTCACCAAAAACTAGATTTTTAGGGCCTTTCTCTCTCTAAAATTGGCTCCAACAAGTTTTAGGGTTCAAATGAATCTAAAACCTTAATTGTTTGCCTTTAAAAACAAAAAACAAAAGACCAAAATTGCCCCTACCAAAATCAATTTCCACCCCTAGGCGGCCGCTCAGGGCTAGGCGTTGGGCGCCCGCCTAGTCAAGTTCCGCACCACCTAGGTGGCTGCCCAAGGATCGACCGTCTAGATTGGCCGCCTAGGCCTAGGCGATGCGCCCAAGCCTTTCGGACCATCTAGGCGCTGGGCGGTCCGCTTTTTGAATCATCGATTCCTTTCAAGGTGGGAGTTTGCCCATAATAACATAAATTAGGAACGTTTCATCTAAAAATTAATGTCATAGGAAACTATTTAACTTCAATGACAAGTGGCTCATGAATTTCCTTGAGAGCCGGCTTCTCATTAGTCATATCAAATTCAATAAAGTGATTAACTAAGAATTTCGTATGCCTGGATTTCTCTATTGCAATACTTCCTCCAACTAATCCTAGAAGTTCTTTGCAGTTGGCTTTGAAGAGAACAAACCAAACAATCAATTGTTGATAGCATTGAATATATTTCCTCAGTAGATGTAATCATCATTCTACTTTTTTTATCTTGTTCACATCTTTGCAGTTACAACACATCCCTAATGAGGGGACATGTGATAGATAAAACAAAACCAATTCAATTTTTTTAAAAAAAAAAATTGGCCACTCACCTTTTAGCCTTTTTTTTTTTTTTAAACATTAACTTGAAACCCAGGGGTTGGAACTCAAGATGTCATAGCCTAAGTCCCTCACCAGGGGTGGGATATAACTTTGGTCGACCCATAGACCATGCGGGTCTGGGTCTGGGTCTGAGTTCATGTTCATGTTGGATCCGAGTCGATTGAGCCTAGGTCAACCCCACCCAACCCTTTAATTTGTATATTATTAGTATAAAATGCTATTAATTAATTAACTATATAGTATAAAATGTACAAATAATATAAATAAATTAACTATTTAATATAAAATATACAAAACATCATATCATCAGAGCCTTATCCCAACCATTTGGGGTCGGCTCCACAAACCTTGTTCCGACATTCTGCTCTATCAAGGGCCACACCTTCAGTAAGACTACAACTCCTTGTATCTTTTCTCAGTTCTCACTACTACCATCCATGTCCTTTTGAGCCTACCCATTGCCCTTTTAGAGCATTCCATTTGAATCAAGTTGCACCTCCAAACCAGTGTTGTATTAGGTTTACGCTACACATGGTCAGCCCACCTAAGTCTACTTTCTTTCATCTTATCGCCTATTGAAGCTACATTTAAGTTCCCTCAAATATATTCATTTTGAAATCTATCCTTTTCTGTGTTGCCTCTCATCCATCTCAATATCCTCATCTCAGCTACACTCACTATCCTATAGGTATGTTGTTTCTTGACCGCCCAACATTTCATCCCATAAAGCAAAGTTGGTCTCACCGTTATCCATTGAAACCTCCCCTTCAGCTTTCATTGGTATGGGAAGATCACATTAAACTTGGGATGTGCATCTCCATTTTGCCCACTCAGCTTTAATTCTATGTGCGACATCTTTCTCAATCTCTCTATTTTCATGGATTATCAGCCCAATATATAAAAACTACTCTTTTTTAGATAATTCTTGACCACCAATTTTAACTACTTTCTCGTTTCTACTCCTGTTATTACTAAACTTACATTCTATATATTAAGGGTTGTCACTTGATGTGACGGTAAAAGGCTCAGGTAGCCTGCGCAAGGCCGCGGGGCGCGGCTCGAGTCCTGAGAGCGGCCACTTTGTGCATAAAAAGCCAAAGGTTAGGATCGTTTCCAGCTCATCCCTCCTGGGACCCTATGTAGGCAGGACCAGCACCGGGTTACGGCCCTTACATTCCATATATTTCGCCATATAAAATAAATTTTTATATTTTTTATATATAGACCCAGGTCAGGTCTGGGTCCAACTGAGTTGGACCCGAGTCTATGTCTACCTTAGACCCAGTTGGCCAACCAGACCAAGCCCTAATAGTGACCACCTAAGCGTAAAGGCCATTCTGACTGTCACTTTTTAAAATTGATTTCATCAAAAGGAACTCATTGGTATTTAACCCCTTTATTTCCAAGTGATGGCAATTATGATGATGATTATGAAACTAACAATATCGCATCATCAACAACACCACCACCACCACAACTAATTGGAACTCAAATCAATATTTAAAGATGGGCAAATATACAGACTCATCAAGGTCAGAGAATAAGGAACCATAGTTGGAACACAAATCAATATTTAAAGCCAAAAACTAAAGATTAAACAAATTAAATGCAGTGATTCATTTATAGATGAGATTTTCATACGAGAGCCAGTGGTCTCCCACAGCTGCATCTCTCCTTGCTCGTAGTAAACGCTCCCTTGAACATTGATGAGTATGAGATGGTCTCCTTCTCTCACTAGATTCTCAGAAGCCCACCTGATTGCACTCTTGCTGCATGCCGAGAAATCAATGGCCACCCCAATATTTCTGTCACCCATCTTCACCTTTCTGTTTTAAAATAAGATACCCAAAACCCAAAAACCAAAACAAAGAAGAAAAATCAAATGGAGCTTGCTCTTAACGAACAAGAACAAAAGGAGAGAGAAGCGATGTTGAAAACCAAGGAAAAGAGCGAGCAAAGGAAAACCAGAAAACAACACAACCCACGACATGTGGAATCCACAAGCCAGTGGAAAAGGTTGACATGTCCACCGTTTCTTAAAGGGTGCGGTTTGTCTAAAGCCTAGGCTCTAAACAATCAAATTAGAGCCTAACTTCAAATAGTATCTACAAATATGATTTTATACCGGAAATATTTTTGATAGCGTTAAAATATATTTTTATTTTTATTTATATGATTTAAAGCTTCAGAAAAAATGTAAATCGAGAGATCTATGAAAACTTAAAAATTTTAAAAATTGACGGTCCAAAAATACGTTACAAAATACACGATTTTAAAAATTTGAAATCTATTTTTTTCTCATGTCAATGCATCTTGATATGCAGATGAGGATATTTGAGCATCAAAATAACCTCTTCTAAAAAAAATTTTGAGGTAAGCTCAAATTTGATTGTTTAGAGCCTCCACTCTATATAAACTTTTTCCCTTTTTTAAATGACCAAAACTGCCCATTGTTATTTCCACCACTAACACCACTCACTAATACTTTATTTCATGCCCGATTTTATGCGACCAAGCCCGCATATGTAGAAATGCGAGCACAACTGAATTTTTAAGGACATATAATGAGATTATGAATATAAAAAAATAAATAAATTTTAAAAACTAAATATAATAATTCTAGTAAGAAAACATTTGGATAGTTAATTTTTATTGTTTTTAGATGAAACACCTACTTGCATCCATCTTAAAGATGGATGCTTTACACTTTTTGGACTGCATATGGAGAAATGCGGTCCAGCCCGTATGTAACAATTTTCCCTTTCAAGAGGCTAACTCTTCATTACATGAAAAAATGGTTAGGGCCTGTCTTTCGCACTAAATTACCCAATAAAAGCCCTATGTTTATATACTAATTGTTCTCAAAGAAACCCTGGGTTAGTTTGTTTAGGTGGTGTGGTAATATTCTTTTTACTTATGATAGCCTTGGGCATAAAACAGGCGGAACTTCTGGCTTTACTTATGGTTTACAAATTTTGGTGGCAAGAAATTTAGGTCATTTTTGTGTTATTGAAGGTGATTCCCTCAATGCCATAACATGGTGCAAAGGGTAACGGAAGCAGCCTAGGGAGTTTAGAACTGTGTAGATCTTGGATTTATCTAATCCTTTCTCCTTTTCTTTTGTGCATGTCTATCGGAAGACAATGTTTCATCTGAGGCAATTGTCTCTAATTATGTAATTTCATTTTAGTGTCCTTTAATAAAATTTATAACTTTTATCAAAAAACATTTATGGGCTGTCAAAATTTCAATGTTTAGCTACTCAAAATCTGTTTTTTTCCTTTTTTAAAAAACAATAGTATGATTATTCTAAAGAAGATAAGAAACAAATAAATAAAAAATTTCCATTTGCTTGAGATAATAAATGTAAGAGTGTGGTTTATATATTAAACAATCAAAGTAAATCGTACCTTGAAATAGTGTCGAGAAATGTGGTTACAATATTGGAAATCTTTGTAATAGCCTTAAAATAAATTTTCATCTTTAATTATAAAATTTAAAGCTTAAAATATAGTGTAGATCTATCAGATCTATGATAACTTGAAAATCTTAAAATTGACGGTCTAAAAATATGTTACAAGATGCACTATTTCCAAAATTTGAAATCCATTTTTTCCTCATGTCTATACATCTTGATGTCGAGACGATAATTTTGAGGATATATGAGCATCAAAACAACTTCTCATAGTGAAAGTTTTGAGGTAGGCTCTAATTTGAGCCTTGCCTTTACATAAACTTTTTTCTAATGTAAAGTTGCTCCAGCAAAAGCGTATTGTACGCCCTTCTATACAAATATTTCATTTCTTATAAAATATTTGAAATGTGAAGAAGGCAAAAAGACAAATTGAAAAAGTTTATAGAAGGCTAACACCTTAAAATGTAGAATTGAGGTGCACCTAAAGAATCGCTAAAAAACGGTTGTTTTGATGTTGGAAACATATCTAATTGATCATCTTGACATCGAGATGTATTGATTTGGAGAACAGAAAGATCCAAAAAATAGTGCATCTTGCAACATATTATCTGGACCATGCATTTTCAAGATTTTCATGCATTTATTGATATGCTTGATTTGAACCAATTTTGGAGTTTAAAATTCTATAAGTAGAGATGAAAACACATTTTCACGTCATCCTAATAATTTTTTACTCAAAAATTGCATCTTACGAGAAAATATGAAAGAACACCTTAATTTGACGGTTTAAGATCGCAACCGTACACAAACCACACCCAAGAAAATAAATAATAGAAATAACAAAGAATACAATACTATAGGTTTGGTATAAAAATATAAACACTTGGAAATCTTGAAAATAGACAATTCAGATAACTTGTTCTAAGATGCATTATTTTTAATACTTGAAATTCTATTTTTCTTTATATATAGCTTAAAGTCAAGATGATCAATTGGAAGATTTTCTAACTTCATAACACTCTTTTTTATTGAGTTTTTTAGGTGCATCTTACTTCTATAGTATAAGATTGCAACCTTAAATAAACTTTTTCCATAAATAAATATATGGATATTGTCAATATTGTTAAGAAATAAATAAATAAACAAATACATTAATACTGTTAAGAAAACAATAAAAATCCAATTTTGCCCATAATTATTTGGGAATTTTAAGAACGATAATATTTTTGAAAATTAACAACGGGTATATTTGGAAAAAGAATAGAATTATGAATAATGACATCATTCTCACATGAAATATGTCATATGGGGATTTAGGCAAGACTTTGGATTTTTCCTTTATTATGTACCGACATTAGATCAATAAAGATCAAGCTCGCAACTAAGCTCTCTCTCTCTCGTTCTTGAACTACTAGCAAGATAACCATCACTCTCTCTCTCTCTCTCTATTAAAAAACCCTCTCTCTCTCTCTTGCATGACTGCTAAACCCACCAGGTATTTAGGGCTTTTTATAATTGGGTTTCTCTAACCGTCTCTATTGGTTTTTTAAGTAGATAACACTTATCCATTTTATACTATTTTTTAAAATATTTTTACATGGCTTTCTGAAATTTGGGTTCTACTTACTTTTTAGATTTGAACATACAACAATCATCAATTCTCTCTCTTTCTCTATCTCTCTCTCTATACATGTTCAACTTCTTTAGTAGGAAATGGTGGATGCATGATGGGCGTTGTTAACTTAGTTTTTGTGTAAGATCTATGCAAAAGTCATATTAAACGAAATTTTTGTGATTGAATTAATCAAAGAAAGATACTCATGCAATTTTATTTTTATTTTATTTTTGCTAATTTATGATAACTAATTTCTGAAAACCCTCTCTCTCTCTGCACAAATTATGTGGAAACATGAGTTTTGGTTTACTTTGATGTGAATTGTGGGAATAAAATTAGTATATATTTTTGGTGCATTGGAGAATATCTATGTTTTGAATCTATTGCTAGATGACATTAAGTAAACTTTTTGTAGTTTCAACTCTGTTATGGAATTGCACCTTGTCTAATTTTGTGTTTAGTTATGAAGCAAATATTAAGCATCTAGGCCTTGTACCTATTGCATTAGTGGAGATATTTTGACACTTATATTAGATTAGGGAAAGCACATGACATTGTTTCGCGAATGTCTAAGTTACCCCAGGTTTTATGTAGGAGTCAGGGTGGATAGATAGTCTAACTTGGATCGATACTTGTTTTAACATAACAAGAAACATTGTTAGCAGTGTGTTACATTGTTAACGATGTATATAGACTATTGTTATAAGGGAAATATTTCTATACTTCCTCTACAACATAGAAGACCTATGCTTCCCCTACGATCCAGCCATCCAATTTTGATCAAGAGAGCCACTCACCGTTTGATCTTAGATTCGACGTCTCAAAGTATTTTATTTTTAGTTTCTTTTTTTATACAAATTGTATGGATATGAAATTTGATACGTGCCATCTTCTCATTGGGGCGCACCTATAAAAAATATTAAAAATAAGCTTTCGATAAAATATAATGACCAAAATACCGCTTGAACTTTCCAAGGGTATTTTGGTCATTTTATTTTATTGAAAATATTTTTTTTTTTTTTTTTCACTAGTGCAAGTTTATCAAAGGATTGGAAGTCTAAAATTTGGTGTCAAACTAGTTTATAGAACAAAAAATAAAAATAAAATAGTGTAGAGACATGACATTGTGATTGGGCAATCTTAGCCCTCCATTGAGAATGGAGGGTTGGGTAAGGGGAAGCATGTAAGTTTTATGCTGTAGGGGAAGCATAAAAAGCTTGCTCATTGTGTAACACTATTAACAGTGTATGTATATGGGCTTTCTTTTTTAGAGCTCCAATACAAGTGCTAACATACCAAGAAATACTATTAATAGTGTAACCCGTGCATATACATTGTTCACAGTGTATATTAATAGTGTAACCCGTGCATATACATTGTTCACAGTGTATATAGAATGTTGTATAATAGTATTAACAATGTATATGTACTAGTTTTCCTTCTAGCATCTTCAATAGTATGTTTTTTAATAGACCGACCTAATTGAGAAGTGTAAATACTTCAAATTTTAATTTAGTACAATATGTAAAAAAATAAATGAATTTGTGTTTATTCATTTATTTGTTTCTAATATCGACTGTTAACTGTTAAGAGGTTTTTGTGCACCATTTCACCATTCACATCATATAGATGTTGTACTTTTTCCTTTCTAAATTGAGGCTGCACATTTGGAGAAACTTGAAAAACTTTGCTTACCAAAATGAGCATGCATTTGATTCGTTTTAGTGACTACACTTGATATGCAACATATGAGTGCATGTGAAGTATGATATCCATATCTATCAATCTAGATGAAATTAAATAGGGTTGAGTGCACGTTCAAATAGCGTTGAGAAATGTGGTTTCAATATTGAAAATCTTTGAGATAACTTTAAAACATCTCTAAATATAAATTTAAAGCATAAAAAATATTGTTGATCGAGCAGATTTATGAAAACTTGAAAATCTTAAAAATTGACAGTTAAAACATACATTACAAGATGCACTATT